ACTGCACTACTTAGACTCAGATCTCCTTGGGACAATTTTTTTTCGAAACAAACTACACCTTCCTTCATGTTCTAATGTGATATAATCACAGTTCAACATGTATTATTCCTAAATATCAACTTCTTTAACAATGAGTGCGATACTTCTTTTGATTGCTTTAATCATCTTTTACTTCAATATTCTGGCTTAAGTCAAATGCTACATCGAACTTGGTTCTCTGAACCACGTAACATACTCATCTTAGTCGGACTCGATTCAATATGAGCTCTAAGGTCGGAATAATAGTCATCTTCTTAGTCATTACCGAAACGATGGTAACGACAGACTAGAACAAGACAGAATCAAATAATAGCTCCTTGGTAACCTTGTGACTTTCCCTGATCCAAGTACGAGTCCTGTGCTTCCGGTAGTATAGGCCTCTACTACCATTCGCACCTACTCATACTCGTCCCAAGTATTGTCTCACAATTCTCCAAATCGCCATACAAGAATTTCACATAGTCATTCAATTCATCATATGACAAAACCAGGGTTTATATTATTTCCTTGAAAGGATTACACAAAGGTTCAAGTTTACCCTATACTATGCCTCTAATAGGCCTAACCACTTGTTGCTATTCACATTACTACTTTATAACTTGATCTTCTTCTTTTGTAGCCTCAAGTGTCATCTGAAAGGCTCTCGCCTTCGGCTTTGGTGGTAGATTGGGCTTTGCAGCATCCTTTCTCTTCGGACAGTCTTTAACAACATGCCCTTCTTCATGGCACTCAAAACATACCCTCTTGTCGGATGGACACATGTTGGCATAATGCCTAGTCTTTCCACATTTGAAGCAAGTCACTCCTCACTACATTTCCCTGAGTGCTTTTTCTTGCACTTCTCACACCACTTCACTTCATCTCCCCCTCCAAACTTCTTAAACTTAGAAAATTTGCTTCTCTTGCTGGAACCTGAAGTTCCTTCAAATTTTCTCTTTTCACCAACTTCCACCCTCTCCAAACCCTTCTCTCTAATCTGAACCTCAACATTCTTAGCATCCCAGATGACAGCTTTCAAAGTGGTTGCTTGCTTGACCATCGGACCAAAGTCCGTTGGTAATCTGAGGGCGAACTTGTTGATCCTAGAGAGTTCAGATGGAACTAGGTAAGGAACAAGCTTCATCTTTTCAGTAAAACTAGCAGCGTATTCAATAATGCTCATCTTTCCCTTCTTTAAATTCTGGAACTCATTATTAATTTCCTGAAGATCCTGCTCAGAGCAGTATTGCAGTTTCAGTTGTAGTACAAAGTCTTCCCAAGACATCTTACTAGCTTCTCCCTTGGGCATCGAATTAGCTAGTAACTTCCACCAGTTCAACACACCAAACTTTAACAGAGGGATTGCAAGTGCGGTCTTTTGTTTGTTGCTGCACTCGCAACTTTCAAACATCGTCTCCATTTCGGAGATCCAATTCATGACTTCCACCTGTTTCGGAATCCCAGATAGACACGACGGTTTAGATGCCATGAAATCTTTGTATTTGCATCCGCATCCATCAACTCCTCCATCCTGGTTGTTTTGTCTAACTATCTGTGGGTTGGCTTGACCAAGAGTCCCACTGTTGTTCCCTCCTATTGATTGCCCTTCATTCAATACGGGCTGTTCAACAGGCATCGTAGTCTCTTCCCTATGTTGTTGTAGTAATCGTCTTGTCTCCTCCATTTGGCGATCTAACATCATCTACATCATTTCTTGTACCCCAGCCATCATCATTGGTTTAGGTGCAGCTCCTACAACAGGTACTTGCTTAACTACTTGAGGTTGAGGCTCTTGATCCCTGTTTACGTTTGCATTTGCAACTCCACTATGAGTTCTAGCTATTACAATCTATAGACCGAATAAGGCGAATTTAGGTCTTTACCCTCGATAGGTATTTAAATTCCCTTATCCCTCCGAAACATTTACATGTTAGTTCTAATCTCGTAATCGTACGGTTAGAATCCTACACACATAAGGTTTCCAGATCAAGTCAGCAACAGACCATAGATCCGAACAAATAATGGCACACATGGAAAACACATAGCATTTAGCACATAAGGGCATTTTAGGCATCTTCCCTAAAATAAACTAGTGCTCGTGTCTAAAATATGGTAGACACTCATCTCACAATCATCACTTAGCATTATAAGCTCAAGTCTAGAAATTCTACAATTTCTTAGTTTGCTTAAACTAATGCTCTGATACCAACTGTGACATCCCCTAATTTTTCGTCCAGAAAAGATCGATTTAATTTATGCTTTTTAAAATAAAATCAGAGAAATCTTTTTAAAAGATGTTGCGGAATTTGTTCCCAAAACAAAACATGATAAAAGTTTATCAAAACTTTCTTTAAGAAATGTATAGTTTCATTTTATATCAAAACCTCGGGATGTCATGTTCCGATACAGATCAAAAGCATAAACAAGACATTATAAGCCTTTCAACAGTTATTTACAACTACTGGCCTATAATCCAAAAATCCCTCATTGTCCTCTGACTATGCTCGGGGTACACTACCTGTAACATAAAAAGCTGAGTGGGTCAAGCTTGGGAGCCTGGTGAGCATATAGGGTTTTCAACCACAATAATAATAAACTTACTAAGTTCATCAATCAACAATAACCCTGATTACCCGTTCCCGTTATCCTCACTTTATGTCCTTATACACTTATCACAAGGGACCTAGCCTAAAGAATATCATCGGGATGGACACTACTGTTAAGGGGTTTCCTCAGCCATACATTTCCTAAAGGCAACCATAAGGGGGAAGGAGTATAGCGAATAAACACCCAAGTTCATTAACACCTACAGGTTGCGGGCCTGCCAATGTTTCCCACTGGACTGTCTAGAAAGTCTGTGGTCGTCATCCAAACTCTGCTAGATGACTGGATCTCAAAACTCATCGAGGCCTCTCATCAATTTTATTTTATCACACATCACTATCTACCCATGTTCTACCCAACATATTTGTAGACAAAAATACTTATACAGTTTAAAACTTGTATAAAACATCAACTCAACAGTCACCTCAAATAAACAATTAATATATTTACACATAGCATCTATTATAAGGTAAATACTTCATATCTATGTGTAAAATGAAAGTGACTATACACTCACATGATTTGATGATAATCGGGTAGCAATTCGTTTCCTAAAACAATTGTTTCTAATAAAACCGGGAGTTTTATTGAGAAACCAGGCTTTGCAAAATTCGGGCTTCGAAACCGAAAAGATAAATTTTCCGGGCTTCTCAGGCACTTCGTGGCGTATTCCGGGGTTACAATCGATACCGGGGCTTTGCGGGACGTTAAGATTAAAGAAGTATGGGTTTAGGGGTTAAAATTGAAAAATTTTCAAAGTTAGCCGGGAGGTCTCGCACCCTTCTATTTATAGGGGCGAGGCTTCTAATCGGACGGTCAGGAGGGAAGACACGCGTTGCAGATCCGAAGCTCGCAGGGGGTGGCTCGCACGTGGGCTGCGCATGCGAAGGCCTCGCTGGCAGCTTATGATTGGACCGAAGTCCGGATCCGATGAGGGGGTTCGTGGCTCACTGCGAGGCTCGGACGGATGAGTCACTACACACGCGTCGGATGCGAGGCTTGCCACCGAAGCTTATACGTGTAGTCAGCGGATTGGACCGCAGCTCGGACTCAGAAGGACATGACACGCCTCGTTAGGTGGCTTCGTGACTTAGCAGCTCGGATACGTGGCGCGTTTTGAGCGAGGGTGATGTGGCCGAAGTCCACGTGTGCGAAATTCATCGGTTTTGGGGATTTTTCTCGTTTTTCGCGCCAAAACTTCTAAAATCCATAACTTTCGCATATGGGCTCCGTTTTTGGCGTTCTTTATATGCACGCGAAGCTAAAATTATGCTCTACAACTTTCGTTTAGACTTCGTTGGTTAATTTTGATTTTAATTTTATTATTATTATTTTTAATAGACCGGGACAGGAAATCCGTTAAAAATTCATAACTTCTTCATTCGATGTCCGTTTTCGTCAGACTTTTTACCGTTGTGCTACTAATGACAAGACCTTCAATTCTCGTTTAGGTTGTGTCGGTTTAAAATCGATCGATCTAAAATTCGAGTTTTTAGCTGCCTACTGCTAAGCTGAAACTTCGTAAAATCATAACTTCCTCATACGAAGTCAGATTTGGGCGTTCTTTTTAACGAACTTCTCGGTTTAACGAATACTACGACTTTCATTTAGATCACTAAGGCTAAAGAGTAGTTTATCAAAAACTCACTTTTTACGACATTCGGCACCGTGCCGGTTTTGTCGCGAAACTTCGATAGGTCATAACTTTTTCGTTATAACTCGGATTTTGGTATTCTTTATATCCCCGAAATCCTTGTTTCGGCAACTACAACTTTATGTAAACATATCGGGCTTATCTCAAACTTTAATTATTTTTATTCTTAATTAATTAAACCCTAATAATTAAGCATAAAACACATAATTCACATAAAATTCACATAATTCCTTTTTATTTCTTCTAAATGAGTTTCAAAGGTTAACCTAGAACATTATGTCACTATTAATGCCTAGCCTAGAAACACGGGTGTTACAACAAAACATAAAATGTACCCCTAATAAAACACTAATCAGATAAAGAGTTATAAAAACTCTTATAAATATACCTATATATTATTAAACTATCCATTTAAATCATAACTTAAGATTTTAGGTCCAAAACGAATCCTAGGGTTAGCCTAGTACTGTGGTAGTACCACAAATAGACCTAGAATGCGTAACTAAGTTTTATTATGGTCCGACCGACGACACCTAAATCCGAATTCCCTAGTTGAAAATCTAAACGCCTTAGGATTTATGGATCCATAGTTTAGTACGATTAGTTAAGAGATTAGCACGAGGCATACAACTTGAGGATCTTCGGATAAGTAGCATAGATCGATTTCCTAAAGAATAGAGCCTTAGATCAAGACCTATTGCAAGAGGATTCAACACATAGTGAAATGGTAAACCTTGAGGATATTCGGATTAGAGATAGCCATCCAAAATACCTCCATACAGAGGGTCACCAAAGATACGGTACTATATACTACATATATATATATATATATATATATATATATATATATATATATAATAGAAAATTATATGTATTATATACTATCTCTCATAAACATCTTCATGTTTGATGTTTTATGTAGGATATCAGAGTGATATGGAGGATATATGGGACCGGGTGTCGCATCTTTACCTAGAAGAAGAATAAGTGGTGCCATACACGCTTGAGGTATAGAGAGATTATGATCCGACGATGCCCCTACCCCTTACCCAGTATCAGCTAATGATGAGCCATTTGAAGACGAAGCAGAGCCCATCGAGGAAGAGGAGCAGCATGACGAGGAGTTCGGTGGAGTACCCACAGATAGATCACCTTACCTAGATTCATTTTCCCATCAGGATCTTGCAGATACTAAAGAGGAGGACCTTGAGTTTGAGTCATCCTTAGAGATTGTTGCTCCACTACCCCCATCCTCGAGCCAACCTTTCGGTTTTTATGCTTTAGGACCCAACACTATAATCACCCATACAAAGTTCATTCCTATTCCATCACGTATGAGAGCAGCCTCACTGACATCATCACCGAGATCATCAAAGAAGCCTTACCCCACCCATAAAGACTCCATAGTGGACGAGTGAGTTAGGGAGGAGGGTATTGGGTTTTATGAGGTCAGAGAATCCTCCCAGGCACCTAGACGCGATCATAGTAACGACCCAAAAACAATGATAAAGTTTTTCATTTTTCAACAAATGTTACAGTCATCATATTTTTTCAAAACCATTACATAGTAACAATGTCAAATTATCAGATTAACAATATCAAAAATTTCGGAAAATAGTGAGGGGAGAATGTTGTGCCATCATAATTGTGGGTCTAAATCCAAAACCCAAACTCCTAGGGTGAAAGACCATTTTACCCTTCCTATAATGGGCCTACCCAAACTTGGCCCAATAACACAATAGTGGCTCCCAATGCCTAAAAGGCCCAACTCGTACAACTTAAGGCCCACTAACAAAATCCTAAGGCCCACTCATGCTTCAAACAGTCCAAGGCCAAAATCCTAACTAAGGCTCAAAATTTCAAAGCCCAACCAAAGATCAAAAGCCCATAAGGGCCACTACAAGGCATACGCTCTATGTACGTGACCACCAGTACGCACATCGTACCACTTGGTACACCTAGTGTATTGGGCTACTTGCCACCTTAAGCAATTTAGTGCTTAATCCGTTTAGAACTAAGGTTCAACTCTTAGATATCTTCCATTTTAGGGTTCTAATACATAAGGTTTGCAACTTTAACCCTTAGCATGTTTTAATAGATCCCAACATCTATTTTTGTCCAACAATGCTCATAATAATACCTCAAACTCATGCATGGACCAATAACAACCATCAAGATAACATTTTTATGCATCGTGAACAACAAAAAGGCTGAGATCTAACATATCTAACTCCCAAAGTTGCTCAAACTCTCAAAGAGAACCTGTGGGACCAAATAAAGCTCACAACAAGCCCTAATATTAAATTATCAAAATGAATCATCAAGGCTAGAGCTTTATACCTTCTCTAGCTCATAAATTTGATGAAGAATCTGGATCTAAAAGATCAACTTCAATAAATGTTTGGTCTCCAAGTTACTTCTTCTTGAATACACACAAAAATTCCCCACAATTACTTTTAAAGTTCAAGATCACTCAAAGGATGAATTAGGATTTCAATGGGATGAAATGAACAATGGAGGCCGACGAGGGTAGGTGTCCAAAGCCATAATGATGTTTAAATAGGGTTCAAACCCTAAAAATTAGGGTTTGACCTAGGCAACACTACGCCCCGCAACACCATGTACGTGTTGGGTTTTGAGCATTCTAACACTCCTAAGTGTACATGCAACCCTAAATACATTCGATCTATGTTTTCTGTATTATACATGCAAATATGAACTTTCCAAGGTATTCATCATAACTAGCATAATAACATTGGTTCATATTAATATCTCAAGTTAGAATTACATACCTCTTTGATGTAGAATGTCTTCATGAAGCTTGAGTGCCTAGTGCCCCAAGTATGACACCTCAAATGGTTCAAACAACACGAAATACACTTGAAATAGCTTAGAGAGAAATTCACACTTCATAAAAATCGGCTAGCCCTTTCACATATACTCTAGTGCCGATTTTGTCAACTATAAGATGCTTATATAGTTAGTGACAATTAGGGTAAAACCTAATTGTCATGGCTTTCCATTTCCTTGGATCCATGGGTTCAAATATACCATGGAGCATCTTATGGGTTTTAGCCCAACTTGACAATCCATGAAGCATTAGCCCACTATACAAGTATGGATGATTTACACAATCAACCCATATATTTAATTAGTCTTCTTTTGATCACTTAGGCTATGTTTGGCGGACTAACTGAAAAGCTAGATGTTAGCTGAAAAGCTAGTTGATGGCTGAAAAGCTAGCTGTTAAATAAAAAGCTAGCTGATAAAAAATAATGTTTGGTAAAACTAGCTGAAAAGCTAGCTGAAATATATAAAATTACATAAAAGGACATGTAAGAATATGTGTTTATATAACTAATTAAGGGGTGTATTTGGGAAATTTTAAAAAAGCTCCTAAAAAGCTAGTCTAAGTAGCTTTTCAAAAAGCTAGCTTATAAGCTACTTTTTGGCTTACCAAACACGACAACATAAAAAAGCTCAAAAAATAAGCTAGCTTATCAGCTAGCTGTGGTGCGCCAAACACAGCCTTAATAATTCAAGATTAATTCTTGATCAATATTAATTAAATAATATTATTAATATATTAGAACTTCTAATATATTAACAAACCTTAAGTGTCATTTCTCTCATTATAGTCTATCCAAATGCATGATGCCATGCAACCCAAATGGACCATGTCGGGTCGGGTTAAGTCTTACCAATTATAGTTATAGACTTAGACATTAATCCAACAGTCTCCCACTTGGATAAGTCTAAAACTATTATTGCAAGTATGACTTCAAGAACCGACTGGCAATTGTAGCTCTCAAAAGCTTTTGTCGAACTCTAACCTTTGTCAATGAATTTTCCATTATATAAGGGATAATATATTCCTCCATTCTAGATATTATATGAATTGAGACATGGATTATAATCATTCTCTCTGTCCATTTGTTGTTTCCCAATTTCCGATTTATGACGACTGACTAATTAAACAAATCAAATCAGTCCAGGCCCGACCGAGCACTTATATTTGTCATCACCAAATCATCGAGGGGCCCACAGATATTGCTTTTATCCTGAAGGTAAAAAGAATGGATAAACTTTGACTCATATGCTTTTCCTGACTACTTGTTGGATCATACACAAAGGCACGTTTTATAACATCGAGTTACCAATGCGTTTTCGTGCAATCAATGTACAACCAACTCATAGTCAACAACTCATCTCTCTAGGTTTGAAGAGTATAAGATATTATCGTCTCATGATCACTCGTGATAAAATCCATGAAGTGATTCCAATGAGCGCGGGTTGAATCCAATACTCAGAACTTATGAGCACTCATGAGTGTTGTAGCCCTTTGTCCAACATCTTAGACCTCTACAAGCCAACCAATGACAGTCTTGATTTATATCTACTTCCAACATATGACCGACTGTGGATAGTTTGCATAACTTAGTCATCCCGGAAGAATAACCTAGTTTATTCTGAAAGTCAAAACATGCAAAATGAAACACAAGAATAATTGAATCTAATATGGTATCAAAACCTATAAACATAAATAAAACACATTTTATTTATCACCATATGATTACACATTATTCATTGTATATTGTTTCAGCTATCAACTTTATTCTTGAATCTAAAACAATAGTTGTCCCATGCTCCAAGCATGTACACTATGTTTTCTAAACACTAGTCACGCCATACACCAAGTATGCATACTATGTTTGTCTATGATCTTTACTTTCCGAAATAGACAAATTGAACATAACTCCAATGATTCTCATTTCACAATCCCAAATCCTTACTGCAAATGCAAGAATTCCAAATTCATGCCATTTACTAAAACCTTTTAGATTCTAAACTTATATGCATTGATCCTCTTGTAATGATTATGCACAAAGTCAGAAAGACTTGACAACAACCATTACAGAGCATTCACAAAGAAATTAGCACCTTGGAAACATCCTTCTTGCATTAAGTTTCCTAATCTTACACAATTTGAATAATTTCTAACTTTGAAACATTTCCATATTCCATTTTTACTATCACTTCTGAACAAGAGTTGCCTCCTTACAGATTATGTCAATATGGTCCTTCTAGAGTTAACATTATACTTCCAACTGTCCTTGAGCAACCAATCTTTGGTAAACCTTAGATTGTCCTCAAGAATTGCTTAATCCTTTTAGTCATATCCAATTCTAGACCTTTTCCCTTCTTAATGCCCCAGGCATTTGGAAAATTTTAGAAAGGATGAATATAGCACATGTAATCGATCCTATATCCGAAGCATATGGGACACGATTCATGATGCCTCACATAAAGACCAAAACAGTCTTTTGCTATAATATTTCCATTTGCCAAGTTCTCATAATTTCAGATTACAAAAAGGGATGTCGTATTCATAATCGAATTTTAGAACGCAAATAATGGACCCATATATAGAATTATCTTATGTTGAGCCATTCCAACATAACATTCATATATATACTTGACTAAATTGATTAAAATCTCACGATCTAAGCTTATAGATTTGAGATGAAGTATAATTTTCTCTCCCTTAATTATAAAAAAACAACTCTTTCCCAATTGAAACTTTTGTTTTCTATAATTAACATTGCTAACTTGCAACTTTTATCATAATTATCGTGCTCCCACTACCATGATGATTGTTAGCATAACACTTATGCTCCCACTAGCTTTGATATGTACTCAGAAATCGGTTGGACTTCTAGAAATCAATAACTTATTGACTTTCTTACCAAAGTTCAGATTTCGGATACTAGATTGCTTTGATAAAAATTTATCACAATCATACACCTTATTTTAAATAGCTCACAGGTGTGTCTAAATAATTTTAAGAACTATGAAAAGGGACGTCGTAATCATAGTCATGATTGTTTAGACCTTTGTCCCTTCTCACAAGTCAATGCTAGTGTGCCGATAAACAACATACGCTCCAATAACGACTTTGAGAATGCAAATATCACAGTTGCTATCTAGCTAAAATCTACTTAGTGAGAGTGTTTCCTCACCATCATTTTCATGAATCGGAGAGAAACCTTATGAAACTTAGATTTAATGGTGTATGTGTTCTTATCCATGTGAATTGTCAAAACCATAGTCACAAGACAAGGATAATGACAAATTCAAACTCATATGGACTACACTGAATCTTAATTTCTTGCCATTTGGCAGCTCAAGGGCCTGCCATTGCTTCCAAGTTGTTGTGCAACCAATTGAGAACTCTCAGAACTCATATGCAAAGCCAACTTTAATTGGAATGGACACAGAATATGTCAACACGATAGGTTATAAACCTCAAGTCATGTGCTAGTGAAGAACTTCAGGTTTTATTCTTGATTAGTTCTTGAGACTTTCAAGACCTTTAAGACTCCCACTGTCCTCTTGAAATTTAAGACTTCCTTGTCAG